TTTACCAGTCCATTTAAACTTCCTGAAAAATTTACTTCTTATAAAATTATAATTTCTTCATTAACTAAAATGAATGCATTAGTGTATTATATCAGAAATAGAACTGGACTGGAAGTCAGGAGACCTAGGTTCCAGTTTGACTCATTAGCTACACAATCTTGAGCAAGTCACTTAGCCTCTCTGCACTTAAGTAGTCTCAGCTGTAAAATGAAAGTCTAGACCATCTCCATGTTTTTCTAGCTTTATGATTCCATAATCTATGAAACTCAAGAAACACAAGCATTAACCTGATGGATCCCATTAAAGATAAAGTGAGCTTACTTATTGATTGATTTGGAGAGCATCTATCTCTGGAAAAACCTAAGTGCTTTCACACAAACAGATCGTTCCTTGTGTCTGCTGATATTTAATTAGGTGAAAAAGCAAACAAAATCCAAACATGGAATTATTAAACAATTTTTGCATCATACATTAGATGACCAAAATATCTGGATGTCACAATACTAATTAAGAAAATAATTTTGGAAAACAGAAGGTGTCCCAGAAGTCCAAGACAGGACAGTTATAAAGGCAAATGAAAGAGGATTCTAGCTAACAATTACTACTTAGGCTATGTGAGAAATAGTGTCTCAGGACAGCATTCTATTACTTTTAGAATAGATAGACCAACTCTGAGTAGCAATTGGAAATAATCAGGCAACTACAGCAGTACTCATGACATCTCTTCCTACTCAATCTTTGCCAGCTCAAGCTTCTGGATAGTCTTCAACAAATGTAATAGGAAGAAGCAAACACTGGAGAGAGCAGCCAAGAAACGTGTATAGCTGAAACCCTGTGCAACAATAAAATGCAAGTGGCAAAGGACCTTAACTTCATGATAGTTCAAAAATTCTGAATTCAGGGGGCTGGCCCCGTGGCGTAGCAGGTAAGTGTGTGTGCTCCGCTGCTGGTGGCCCGGGTTCAGATGCCGGGTGCGCACCGACGCACCGCTTGTCAGGCCATGCTGTGGTGGCATCCCACATAAAGTGGAGGAAGATAGGCACAGATGTTAGCCCAGGGCCAGTCTTCCTCAGCAAAAAGGGGAGGATTGGCATGGATGTTAGCTCAAGGCTGATCTTCCTCACAAAAAACAAACAAAAAAACCCATACAAAAAAATTCTGAATTTAGATCTCCTTTCAAGCCCCTTTACTTTGCTTCTAATTACATCTGAGAATGTAGGGAAAATCTCTTTTCAAAACCACCCCCATAAATTATTTTATTCATTTTAGTTTCTAAAAAAAAAATGCCCCACGGTTGGGGTAGGAGAGAGGGATGAACTGGCAGAGCACAGAGGATTTGGGGGCAGTGAAAATACTCTGTATGATATTATAATAATGGATAAATGTTACTACACATTTTTCCAAACCCACGGGATATACAAAACAAAGAGTGAACCCTAAGTTAAACTATGGACGTTGGTGATTATGATGTGTCAATGTAGGTTCGTGAATTGTAATAAATGTGCCACTCTGGTTGGGGATGTTGATAGTGGGGAAGGCTATGCATGTGTAGGGGCAGAGGGTATATGGGAAATCTCTGTACCTTCCTCTTAATTTTGCTGTGAACCTAAAACTGCTCTAAAACAATAGTCTTTTAAAAAAATATATTAACATTTTTAGAATAGGAAATATTCTTCAAAACAATTATACATCCTCGTGCAAAAATATAGGGGCCGGCCTGGTGGTACAGCGGTTAAGTTCACGCACTCCACTTCGGCGGCCTGGGGTTTGCGGGTTCAGACTGACACACCACTTGTCAAGCCATGCTGTGGCGGCATCCCATATAAAGTAGATGAAGGTGAGCACAGATGTTAGCCCAGGGCTAATCTTCCTCAGCAAAAAGAGGAGGATTGGCATTGGATGTTAGCTCAGGGCTAATCTTCCTTGCAAAAAAAAATATATATATATGAATACAGACACAGTCCTTAAATCTTACACAAAAATTAACTCAAAATGGATCTTAGGACTCATGTAAATGTAATTTAAATGTAAATTACAAAACAGTAAAATGCAAAACTATAAAAATTCTTGAAGATAACATAGGAGAAAATCTATGTGGCCTTGGGTTTGATAATGAGGTTTTAGATAAAACACCAAAAGTATGGGTGATGAAAGAAAAACTTGATAAGTTGGACCTTATTACAACTAAAAACTTTTGTTCTATGAAAGACACTGTTAAGAGAATAAAGAGAAAAGCCACAGATTGGAGGAAAATATTTGCAAACAACATATCTGATAAAAGATTTGTATTCAAAATATACAAAGAACACTTAAAACTCCACAATAAGAAAACAAACAACCCAATTTAACAATGGGTAAACGATCTAAATAGACACTTCACCAAAGAAGATACAGACATGCGCTGCATAACAACGTTTCAGTCGATGACAGACCACGTATACGATGGCAGTCCCATAAGATTAGTACCATATAGCCTAGGTGTGTAGTAAGCCATACCATCTAAGTTTGTGTAAGTACTGTAGGGGAGAAGAAATTTTCCTTTACTCTTCTGGGTTCTGCTGGCTGGTCTAAGAATTAAATTGACACGAGACAGATTAACAGGAGAAAAACAAAAGTTTAATAACATGTACACATGGGAGAAACCCAGGAAAACCAAGTAACTAGCCAAAATGGCTAAAACCCTCACCTTAAATACCATCCTCAGCTAAAGACAAAAGAAGATGTTGGGGGTGGGGAGAGTCAGGGACTTCAAAGGGAAGGAAGGCAATTCACAGGTAGGTGAAAAGGAACAAACATCTGGAAAACAAGTGTTTGGCCACACAGAAACAGAACACAGATGGGAGCCCAACAAATAGGCTTTTCTAGGTTCCTCCCTGTCTACCACCTAGTTCATGTTATGCTAAGGTGATAGCTCGCTTCCTGAGACAGGTTTTTTTATCCGAATTCTTTTAGGCAGTTAAAGAGGAGGTAACAAGAAAAATGCTCTGAGTCTTTTGTTTCTTAAAAATAATCAGCCTAAAATAATCCTCACGTTACAGAGACATATTTCAGGGTAGCAAATTTTACTCCCCTTCAGTACACTCTACAGTGTTCCCACAATGACAAAATTGCCTAATGACACATTTCTCAGAGTGAATCCCTGCTGTTAAGTGACCCATGACTATAGATGGCAAATAAACACATAAAAAGGTGCTCAGCATTGTATGTCATTAGGGTATTGCAAATTAAAACACCTATTACAATGGCTATGGTACAAAAAACTGACAATATCAAATTCTGGCAAGGATGTGGAACAACAGGAACATTCATTCATTGCTGATGGGAATGCAAAATGGTATAACTACTTTGGAAGACAGTTTGGCCGTTTCTTACAAAATTAAACATAGTCTTACCATAGGATCCAGCAATCACACTCCTAAGCATTTACCAGAAGGAGGTGAAAGCTTACGTCCACACAAAACCCTGCACGTGCATGTCTACAGCAGCTTTATTCATAATTGCCAAAAAAATGGAAGCAACCAAGACGCCCTCCAACAGGTGAAGGGAGAAACAAACTGTGGTATATCCATATACGAAAAATGATTCAGCAATAAAAAGAAATGAGTTATCAAGCCACAAAAAGACATGCAGGAAACTTAAATGCATACTGCTCAGTGCAAGAAACCAATCTAAAAAGACTACATACTATATAATTCCAATATAAAGTTTTGGAAAATGCAACTATAGAAACAGTAAAAAGGTCAGTGGTTGCCAGGAATTCTAGGGGAAGGAGTGGAGGGATGAATAGGTAAACCATGGCATTTTTAGGGTGGTAAAACTATTCTGTATGAAACTATAATGGTAGATACACGTTATTATGCATTTGTTAAAACCCACAGAACTGAACCACACAGAGAGTGAACCTTAATGAAAACTATAGACTATAGTTAAATATGAATCTGGGCCGGCCCCGTGGCTTAGTGGTTAAGTGCACGCGCTCCGCTGCTGGCAGCCCGGGTTCAGATCCCGGGCGTGCACCGACGCACCGCTTCTCCAGCCATGCTGAGGCCGCGTCCCACATACAGCAACTAGAAGGATGTGCAGCTATGACATACAACTATCTACCGGAGCTTTGGGGGAAAAAAAAGGAGGAGGATTGGCAATAGATGTTAGCTCAGAGCCAGTCTTCCTCAGCACAAAGAGGAGGATTAGCATGGATATTAGCTCAGGGCTGATCTTCCTCACACACACACACAAAAAAAAGTATCAATATTGGTTCATTAATTGCAACTGATGTACTACACTAATTTAACATGTTAATAATAGGGGAAACGGGGGAAAAGGAGTTATGTGGTAATGAACAGATATGGAACTCCATCTGCTCAATTATTCTGTAAATCTAAACCTGTTAAAAAAAAATAAAGTCTTAATTTTAAAAAAACTATACCCACAATCTCAAAGAATAGATATTGGTACTTGAGACTACAGAAATTCTAGTAAAGTGAAAAAAAATTAACTTTAAATAAAATCAAATTTAAATAAATTTAAATAAAAATTGATTAACTTTAATCCTCTTGCCTTTTTCCCGGCATTGGTCATATCCCTGCTCACTAACACCTACATCAGAGAGGGACTCCTAGGAAATGTAGAAGAAATTGAGCTGGGAAGCTGCTTGACCTCAGCTATGATTAGCAATTTAGCCTGAAAAACTAAAATGAGATCCAGTGATTATCATGGACAGTCAAGCACAAGAAAAAAAAAAAAAACTTAGTACTTTTTCACATCATTCACTAATGCCAACAGACAAATTAAAGTGTATTTATAAAGAGGGACATAAATGTACGGTAATGTACAGTACTTTCATTCAGAGGCCCAGAAGTCCTCAACACCCCTTTTTCTAGGTTAAAGAGTTAGAATGTGTCAACTACAGAAATCAATGTGGGTCCAATGTTATTGTTCTTTGGAAAATTTCTGCAGCATTTTGATGGAGACATCAAACAAGAGCATTTTGACAGGCTTACCCAGCACCCAGAGGTGTTGTACCAAGTCCTCTTTGATGGCAAGGGCAACGGCTACCTGTTCACTCAGCTTCTCTGGCTCAGGCAGAATCCAAGAAAATATCCCCTTCCCCAGTATGTCTATGCCTCCATTGTGATGGGTGAGCGATTATTGCAGAACAATTCCATGACATCCCAGTCCCTGACATAGCCCAACTGGAACTTCTGGGTAAGGAAGAGACTACAGCAGTATAGGTAGTCCATCTGGCTTCTTACATCACCAGAACATTCCTGCTGCAGACAAAGCATGGCTCTCTTCTATCCAGATGGCTCTCTCTTCAGGCCATTCCTGGGATACCACACTAGTTCTACTTTACAGTTTCTCAAAGATGCCTGGATCTTCCTCATCCATACTAGGTGCCAACTACTACAACCTGAACAAGTTATGGTCTTTTCCAGCTCAGTAAACCCAAAAGCCTGTTCTCAGGATTTATTAAGATCCAAACTGAAAAGGGACAAGTATGTGCCCCAGGAACTGTATAGTACCATTTAGACGAACACTGTAGCAACTGGCACAAGGTAAGACAAAACTCACTACTGAAAGAGTAAGTCTAAGTGGACTTACTACTAAATTAAAAATCCTCAGCAGAAGCTTCTCTTCTGGTTGTGACATCAAAGGAAAAAAAGATTTATCCTCTATCTCCATAATCCTTGTTTTTAGCAACTTCCACCAACAGACAGACTATGGTAAGCACTACTCACAAGAACGGCTTATTAAGTGAAGGATGACAAAGATTCATGAAGCTACCTAATGCTCAGATGGTTTGAGAAAACAATCACTTTTTGGGGGGTGGCGAGGGAGGGTGAGGAAGGTTGGCCCTGAGCTAACAGCTGTTGCCAACCTTCCTCTATTTTTTGTATGTGGGATGCCACCACAGCATGGCTTGATTAGTGGTTTATAGGTCTGCGCCCGGGATCCAAACCCACGAACCCCAGGCTGCCAAAGCAGAGTGTGCAAACTTAACCACTACACCACTGGGTTGGCCCCAACAATCACTTTTGACCAGTGTCTGTGATCTTTCTGTGTAACTCAATATAAAAATGCAAGTTCTTTTAGTTACATATTCACTGATATAGCTGAAATTAAATAACCTAAATCTACTGAGGATTTTTTTTTTGAAAAATAATCTGATGAATTCAAAGCCACAAAACATGAAGGGGTGAGGGAATCAGGAATCTGAAACAGATGGCGTCTCTCTAATTTTTTTTTCCTGAGTCCATCTTGAACACAATCCCAATAATGTCAAAATCCAATTTAGCTCTCCAAATAAGTAATCTACAAAACTTAAAATGGTAGTTCTAAAGTAAATTCATCCTTTTTTTTTCCTCTCAGATTCTCCAAGTTCCTATATTAGGCAGAAATGAGTAGAGACAAGTTAGATGTTAAAAGAGAAAAACTATCCTTCCACAAATTCTAAAGTTCTTTCATGAAAATCTACTTCCACTTACCTGAAGCCATTGAAGCAGTTTCAATCAAGACTGGTGATATTAAAATCTGTCTATGCTATCAGCCTTTTTTTCTGGATTCAGTGATTATTTATCCTTATTAGAGACCAAATCATATCTCCAAAAAGAAATATGCTTTAAAATAGAAACAAACTCTGGAAGAATACTCATTTGGTTTGAGTCAGTCTAGCATTTTCTAAACATTTCCACAGTAACTCTTTCACTCCTGATTTGGCAGCACCAATAAAATTAACTGTGCTTTGTTCATTATATGATTCTAAAACTTTTCCTAAAACTTTCTGAGATCATCGAAGAGATGGATATTAAAGGAAGGTTTAGTCATTTTTAGATTTCCTGACAAGCAAATTCCATAACCGACAACTGCAAAGATCCTTGGAATGGCCACATACTTTGCTTGAGTGGAAAAGGTCATTAAGAAAAGTATCATCTCTAACAGTCTCCAATTTAGATAGATCTTTTTACTCTAACAGCTAGTATCCTATCTCTTTTACCAAAATAAAGGTTTATTAAACTTTTATGAGAAGATAGAGAAAAAAATGGGAGCTTCTGATGGGTTTACCAAAGCAAGATAATATGGCCTCAACTTTAAGACTCGAAAGATGATGAAAAATAATGATCCAGGAAAGGATAGGAAAAGCTAATATATATATATACTAAACACTGTGCACTCTCATAAAAGCCATTTAGAAAGTTGAATAACCTTACAAAAAATCTACAAATGTAGCAAAAACATAATTTCAACTCTTTGTAAAAAAACAGTATAGAGACTTTTTAAATAATTCTAAACATATCCATCCATTCATCAATTTGACCAATATTTATTTGGTGACTATTATGTAGCTGCAGTGGCAGATAAAATTTAAAATAGTATTTCTAGCTCAAGAAGCATGCGATACACTTGAGTTTTATCAAAAAAAAAGTTCAACTCTGTTTAAAAGATAGAGATATGGGGAAGAAATATATTTGAAAATTCCTCTCAAAAGCATGCAAAATCTATAAACCTCTCTAAAAAGTGCTACTGAATTGCAAACTTTGTACCCACTTTTCACATAAAAAAACTATCATAAGAGAAGGTTATTTGATTTTTATACTTTGAGTATAAAGTACATTTAAAAATTAAAAATTACTAACTACAAGTTACATCAAAAAGCAAACTATATTAGCTGAAAATCTGACATATAATAGGCTACATATAACTATCATTTTAAATCTACAAAATGAATATTAAAAACTTCGTGTTTCTGAGATTTATTTCTATATTCTCATCATAAATGATTTAAAGGCAGAAAACCATTCCGTTTTCATTTTATCTGTAAGTTTTGCTATAGTTGAACGATATTTAAGATGACTCACAATACTGATGTTGATTTTAATCTTAAAATTACAATTACTTTCTATTTTATGCCCAAATTTTACTTCTCTTCAAAGACATGTGATGTTACTTAAGACTAACATACGTTACTTTTTAAATGTTTTTCTTATCAATCCATACTACACACACCACAAATCTGAGAAAAACCTTTGAAACACTATTGCTTATTTCGATAAATGCATGTATTCTGCTTTATTTTTAAAAGTTTAAAGAAACCACTGATGACTGAATTTCATGCTACTTATGACCAATTTCTAGAAGCCACTGAAAGTCCTGTTGTACACATATGTTTTGGAATATTATGATCCAGTTCCCTTATCTCATACCTCATTCCACAAAACTGGGCTACCCTGACTGTGTAAGATTAATGATAATAATTCATCTTTCAACAAGAAAGTGCTTCCATTAAAAGTGGGCTGTTATTTAAATACATTACCCCCCTTAGAACACTAGTAAGAATTTTAACTCATTTTACTTATGAAGAAACTGAATCTCTGGTAGGTTCCACGACTTGCCCAAGGTCAACAACTAGCCAGTAGCAGTCTGAGTTCAATCCCAGATTTACCTACCTCAAAGCCAATACTTCCACTTGACCACAATTATCTCCTTAAAGGATTAAGAGACAGGCTCAAAAGAAGAGAATCTTGTCTCTCTGAACACTCACATATCTATTCTGAGACATCTATCACCACACAGTACCTATAATTCAGTCACTGATTGAAATATAAAAGAAGAGGATCCTTCTGCTTCATTTAAACTAGGGCAAGCTTACTGGCAGGTAAGAAAGAGGCTGGAAAAGGCTTGCCTCAACATGTCTCACCTAGACCTCTATACCTACCTATACGGTTCCCTCAGTCTATTTTTTATAAACACGCATATCTACCAAACAAGGCTATGCCGGACTAGCCTACAGTTTGGTGCTTTTCAGAATTGCACTTTTCTAAGATAATTTATACCAGATTTAATATCGAGCTGGGAAACTTGGTTGAATATGCCATTCTGGCACTTTCCAAACATCTGAAGTATCATTTAGGGGCAACAAACCCAGTTCCATCCTCTTTCTTTTACGCTGTGATGCCTGCCCACTTAGGGGGTACCGCTCTTGTACCACGCTGGGGCAAGAGAGCAATAAAGGAAGAAGCAGGGGAAGCGCACGGAAGTTGGGTGGAGGGAGGTCGCCTTACCCACTCTTCTGCCCTAGCTCTGCCAAGGGCGGCTCCCCGCGGTGCCCAACCTACTCACAACCCCCACAATCCTCGAAGCCCAGCTCTGTCCCAGCGGGGTGGGCAGAGGAAGCAGGCAATGGGATTCCCCAGCCACCCCGCCGAGGTCCATGCTCTCCTTGTGGCCCCGGAGGATGCTCCCCCTTTCAGAGCGAGCCCTCCAGGTGGCAAACTCTCCGTCCACACCGGCTAAAATCTTCTGCATCGGAGAGGACGCCTCCTCCGCAACCTCAACCCGGCCACCCGAAACTCTCCGCCAGCGATGTCCCCCAGCCCCCCCATTCCACCCCCGCAACCCTCCACAGACACACACGCCGGCCTGCGCCCCACCCAGATTCTCGGCGTCCCCCTCCCAGACTGGGAGAAGGGCCACCCACCTGCCCCCACAAACACACACACACCCTCAAGCTCCAGCCTCTCGGACCCCGTCGAAGCCGGAGCGAGTACCTCGTCCGGCCGTACTGCGGGGCTCAAATGGGGCGGGCGCAGTCCCCTCCCGGAGACTCCAAGTACTTCTCTACCCACCCGCAGTGGCGGCTTCTCTCTTTCCCAGGAATGGGAGGCAGGAGAGGTGCAGGAGGGGAGGGGGGAAGGCGAGGAGCCGAGGGGCGGCAGGAGCCGAACCGGAACCACTACCCCCGGCCCCACCCTCGTTCCGGCGCACAGCACTCTGGCGCTCCGGATAGGACAAACTTAAATAAGCAGAGAGCGAGAGATGGACACCACCACTTCCGGGTCATCCCCACTACTGCCCCTCCTTAGCAACCGCGTGGAGTTGCTAAGCGGAAGTGCCTTCAAAGACAACCACCCTCATTTCTTCCGGGACTATCGGGAGGTAGCTGGGAGCGTGTTCTCCTCTTTGGTGACACTCTCTTACCTTCTACTTCTGGTCTCAGACAGAGCACACGCTTTGCTGCCAGAGTCACGACGCCCATCCTGCTTTTCCCTTCAGCTGTACTTGCCCCAACAGCCCCCAGCCTCAGCCACTCTATACACCTGCTCCCTCCCGCCCTGAGTCCCTGGCCGACCCATTGGCTCCTCCTAGGCTCTCTCTGGACTCTCGTGCGAGTTATTTTCTGGCGGTTTAGCAAGCATCTCCCTCTTGTGGATTTTCAGTTGTGTTTCAACTGGGTTTTAAAAGTCTCCTTCAATGTTATGAAAGCTTTTACATGCACTCCGTTCTCCTGTGACAGCCCCTGAAACCGAACGGTGAGAAAAGTTTTGTCTTCACCCATCTTCTCTTTTGTAAGGATCGCACATGTTTGTGTATGATCTGGAAATAACCTAGCTAAATGGAAGGGCAAAACAAAGATTCGCTGTAAACCAACCAAGTAGAGTGATTTTAATCTTTAAAAGAAAAGGCAATGAGAAAAGGCCAAAGGAAGCCGGTAATCAAGCTTGAGAAGGAGGAGAACATTTAATCCTCCACTCAGGATAAACTTTCATACCTACACCGTGGACAACAAAACTATTGAGAGACTTAATTTATTCTTATGTCGGGTGATCTGGGCTTTGAAAATATTGGGAAAACTACTTGTTAGAGTAAAAATCAGCAATATAATTAATCTTCTCTAGAAAAATGACCCGTATTATGATGGCAGTTAAATAGTCAGAGAAATGTAGTTGGGCATTCAGAAAACAATGAATAAAAATCTTGGTTTGACTTTCCTATCTTGCATAGGTCTGCTTAAAAGCAGTAAAGCTTAAGAGTACCTCCTGAATTTGTTGTCTATTCCATAGCAGCCAATGTACTTGCCACTGCTGGCTCCAGTTTTATTGGTCATGATAACCTCTTAGTCACCAATATTGGACTGCTGGGGCAGAGGAGATGAGCTTTGGTAAATTAAAAGAAACAGCAGGTCTGTTGGTTTCCTGTACACATGAGACAGCATTAAATTGATTCACCCTGGACAGTAAGTTCAGCAAAACCTTTAGGAAATCACTTCAGATTCAAATGTCAGTAGTAGGTTTACTAAGTCTAAAACATCTGACCCTTGCCATCGACATGCACACATGTGGGAGTATATACATGCCTACAATTCAAATGGAACCTGCACACACCCCGTAATTGTTCTTTAAAAAACCTGGCTGAGGCTGGCCCAGTGGCGTAGTGGTTAAGTTCCCATGCTCCGCTTTAGTGGCCCCGAGTTTGCAGGTTCGGACCCCGGGGGCAGACCTACACACCACTTGTCAAGCCATAGTGTGGTGGTGTCCCGTATACAAGATAGAGGAAGACTGGCACAAATCTTAGCTCAGGGCCAATCTTCCTCAAGCAAAAAGAGGAAGATTGGCAACAGACGTTAGCTCAGGGCCAATCTTCCTCACCAACACAGGCACATACACAAAAAAAAACTGGCTGTAAGTGACTAGTGATAAACCTGTTACTATGACAAAATTTAGCTTGGTATTTCAATTGCTAACAGGTTTGAATATCAAAAAGTTTTAAATTAGAGAAATAAAACTGAGGGCCAGCCCCGTGGCTTAGCGCTTAGGTGCGCGAGCTCCGCTGCTGGCGGCCCGGGTTCGGATCCTGGGCACGCACCAACGCACCGCTTCTCCGGCCATGCTGAGGCCGCGTCCCACATACAGCAACTAGAAGAATGTGCAGCTATGACAGACAACTATCTACTGGGGCTTTGGGGGAAAAATAAATAAATAAAATCTTAAAAAAAAAAAAAAGAAATAAAACTGAGCCCAATTAGCAATGACTTATCTAAAACTATGGTGGACTTAGATGTCTCTAAAAAATTTCAAACATGATTATGGTAAATGTATTTTATAGAAAGAAACGTTTGTTGGGTAAAATTAATAGTTAAGATTAAATGTGATAGTTTAATCCAACATAGAAATACCAAGTCCTATGCATCATTTATTTTTCCCATCGCCTAAAGAAATATGACTTAAAACAGCATTCATTTAGATCCTCTCTTCCTACAGTTTTTAAAAAATTATTCTTCAGTCACTTTTGTATAGGTGTATGAATAACTGTCTTGACTCTTAAATGGTCACATGACCTCTATAATTCTTTCATTTTCAACATATTTATTGCTTGGAGACCTCTAAAGATGTATAGCACAATCCACAACTAAAACTAGCTATGCAGGTTTAACTACACTTTTAGGATTTTGTGAGCGATACTATAGGAATCCATATTCCTAATATGAACTGTAACTAGAACAATACTCTCAGATCTAGGCTAGATCTCAAATAGCCTACAAAGTCAGTACAGTACCTTCATTCTGTAGATCAATATAGGACCTCCAGCCTTTTTTCCCAGTCTGTTGAAAGCTTTTTTCAATTTTTTTATTGCCCCTTGTAATTAGGTAAGAAAGAATGGTATCTAATGTTTCTAGGGTATCTAATGTTTACTTTTGGAAAACCTAACACTCTGTAACTCAATAATTAATATTCAGATATTCCTGAGTAACTAATATTCAAATAATCTTAGAGTTCCATTGGCATCTTCAAATATAAAAGATAACAAAACTAGAGCCTAACAATTAGTGAATACTTGAGATCAGTTAGAAGAAATGTAGCCACATTTACCATTTATGTGCCTAAGCAATATACAGCACAAAAGACAACCCCTTACAAAAGCGGCTTAGAGAAATTCACTTAGGACACATGTGACATAAACAATGGAATGTTTAGTCTTAGGAAGAGAAGGCGAAAAATGTAACAGTTACCTTTAAATACTTGAAGGTCGTCATGTGGAAGGAATACTTTGTTCTGTGTTATTTCAAGGACATAACCAAGAATAGGAGGAGAGGAGTTAGAAAAATTCAAATTTTTAACTCATAACATTTTTCACAATTAGAGTAGCTAACTAATAAAACAGTCTGCCTAATGAACAGCTGTAACTGGCTTGGGTTGAACAAGATGACTTCTAACATTCCTCCTAATTTTGATTCAGTGAGGATCTCTCTTACCTCCATATGCTATCCTCAAAGGATTCTATCCTCAACCATTGTAACAATGTTAATTGGACCAAGGCCCAACTGAACCTTCAATTTTTCCAAAAGTGAGTTAGCCTGGAAGATTCTAAGTACAGTTAGATTTGTAAGCGGTGTCTATACATATATGGGAAAGGTGCAGAAAAGCAGTTTCTGCTTTTTAAAAAAATGATAAGCATTTGTCATCTTATAAATAACTCTTGGAGCACACTTTATAATTTTCACCATAGTATTGCTCTTCCATTGTGAAACTATGTAAACACAAAATACATATGATCCTCACAATGTTCTAGCATTCAAAAATTCCAGAAAAGTAGTTTTAATCATTGTTTAAAAATGATTAATGTCAAAAAATTGTCAGTAATTTGACACTAGCATTAATAATTTGAATAATCTATTCAAAGAGGAAAACAAGATTAACTTTGTGAAGAAGGGTATAAAATTACAAACTTAGTTTAATTATCTTTTTAATGTATAAATTTTATTTTTGGATTCAGTTTCAGTGGAAACAAAGAATCTGTACTTCCCTCATGTTCAGAAGAGGCTCAATTGCCAATCTACATTTTAAAAAAGCTTTGGCAAGGAAGCGGATTACATGGGACTCTGCCTGATAAAAGTGAGATACTATCAAATATTGTATATTGGAAACCAGTAGGTTCCTTAGGTCAAATTTTTTAGAAACAATTACATATCAAAATTAGACTTCATTGGACACACCACCAAAAATTCTGTCAATGAAAAATAGCAAAGCAGCTTTCAACCCAGCAGAGCTTGACTTTAATAGAGTTGGTTTGAGCTACTCTTTAATAAGAAGCCTAATTATCAAGGAGCTACTTAGGATAAAAACTCTGCTTGAAATTCAGTAACATTTTGTTTGATATCCACCTCTAAAAGACAAAGGAAAAAATATAATCTACAATCATTAGGACTCAGTTTGGAAGCTGATAAAATCAGGTCAATGCACTGATTTGTATTGAGAAGAAATAAAATAGAAATATCTAGTAGGATATAATCTTAGGAAGCACACAAATGGATAGTCTATTTTGAAAATAAGTAAATATTCATTTATTAAAAACAAACTTCAGAAAAACATGACTGTTAAAAGATGGTTGATTTTGACGACAGGATGTCAGTGAGCAAAAAGTGTGATGAGGAAGCAAGATCAATTACCAAGCAATATTATACCCACCTCTTCAATTATACCCCTAGTTATCTTGAAAAATATAATGGTAGCTCCAAGGACTTTGGACATAGCTCTGGGTTTATGGCATGATTTGCTTTTCATGTTTTATTGATTTCCAACTTTAAAAGTATCAGCACAAAGCGTAATATTTTATGATACTGAATCAAATGCATATTCTAGGAAAATTCCTCTCTTTTAATGTGGTTTATGGAATCTTCCTGCCTGATTCTATGCTAGTATTTTGTATTTTTGTTGTTGTTAGAAGCTTTATCAACCGTTTAAACCATCAGGATCAAATTGCCCTTAAATTTTTCTAAGGAGAAGATAGATAGTCATCCAAATTTTTTCAACATTGCATCATTGGTCCCCTTTCTTAAAAAGGGTATGGGTTCAGTTTAATTAATACTGAATCTTTTTAATGTGCAAAAATCTAACTCTGCTTTTTAAAGCAAAGCAAAGGAACAAAAATATGGCACCATTCCAATAATCAAATGCCAATAAAAATGGCAGCAGTACAAAGATCTAAACAAATCTCAAATACAGCAGATTCATAATTAGAACACCATGCAATGATTTGTTGTTAGCAAGAACAAGAAGCTTAATAACAGGTAAAAGAAACCAAATACTGCATTATATTGAGTACCAAGCCAAGTAACCATAGTTAATCTTACAAACTCACCAATATCATAATTACTTGCTTTTGAATAACTAAATGTAAGCCTCATTTTTTAAATTAAATGTCTATTGAACAAAGCTAATTGGAACAAATACATTTATGCAAATTTACATCCTAGAATACCAGAGTAAACAGGAGACACTAGTCAAGGATGAATAAGAAAGTTCTATTCTTTTTCGTCATCTGTGTCATCAGGTGGCAAAGGACATGCTCTGTGGAAAGAATAGAGAACTTCAATAGTCACTCTAGTATCAACTGTTTAAAAAACAAACCAAAAATAGTTACAAACTTGTATAAATCAGGAACATTAATTAACAGTGCGGTGGTCAAGTGACTAGAAATGAGAAAAAATTAAACTCCGTTAATTGACACCACCTACAAATTACTAGAGCAACAAAATTTTTAACAATTTATTTTGCCTGTTAATTTGCTGAAACAGTGTTTCTCCTTTAGAATATGTTGCCTTTTTATTAATAGGGGAATCTCTATTTCTATTGCATCTTCTTTCAACATGTTAAGTGGATTGATAAACAGAGTATAATCCTTCAGCAAGAACTTTGTGATAATAAAAAGCAAAACAATTAGGGAGCTGGCCCAGTGGCATAGTGGTTAAGTTCGTGCGCTCCGCTTCGGCAGCCCAGGGTTTGCAGGTTCAGATCCTGGGTGCGGACCTATGTACCAGTTATCAAGCCATGCTGTGGCAGGAGTCCCACATAATAAAGTAGAGGAAGATAGTCATGGATGTTAGCCCAGGGCCAATCTTCCTCAGCAAAAAGAGGAAGATTGGCAATGGATGCTAGCTCAGGGCTAATCTTCCTCACCAAAAAAAAAAGCAAAAAAATTAACCAATCCACCTGAGCAGAAAAAACATAGACTGTATTACACAATGAATGTATTATGAATGAATTATACAAATGTATTACCTGATTAGAAAAACCCCAAAATTGTTTAAGTTGGCATATAGTAGTCATCCCTTTTGAAAAATAATTTACATTATCCCAAAGCCATTTTGTACTCATTACACTTTTTACAGACAAAAAGTCAATTAAAAACTTACTCATAAATCTGAATTTTTTTTTAGAGCTAATGAAGCATTGTGAGATCTATTCTAAAATAATCAGTTTATAATAATATTATATAATAATATTATTATAAACATTATAATATAATAATAATATAATAATAAATCTTGTAAATATAGTAATAGATCACTTACTATAGATTTACTATTGATAGTAAGATTTATTATTGATAGTAAGTAGTAAACTCTCAGTTTATAAGAAAGATTTCTGCTATAATCTCCCTAATCTATAGTAAGTGATCTATTACTATAGATTTACTATTGATAGTAAGATTTATTATTGATAGTAAGTAGTAAACTCTCAGTTTATAAGGACATAAATAAATCAATAGATTTACTATCAATAAAGGAGTAATTACAAGTCTCTTAAACAAAGACGAATCTAACAGAGGGACCAAAAGGAATAATATAAACCTCTATTACCTAGTTTTATGTCACAGATTTTATTATACCATGGATCAAAGTTCTTTATGAGAATATATGTGTAATCTTTTCCATATGATGGAAAGCCTGTAATATAGGTTTTATTGCTATGATGATCAATGGTATAGCCATATTTGGCTATATTGCCAAATATTTTGTTTCCTTAACGGAAGTCACAAATAATTCAAGAGGACTGTAATATATCCTAGAGCTAATATCAACTATTAGCTTATTCATATTAGAAAGAGAAAGAACAAGGAAGAATGGTGCCAGACAATGAGAGAGAACTAAAAGAGACCTGTAGGATCATGAAAGCAAGTCTATTAAATGGCTCTATCCAAAATATATCCCCTTGGGTGTTTTTTATGGAGACCAGAAATCATAATAGTGATATAGCAACAAAATCTAAAATTTAGTTACTGCTCCAGAGTTTGACATTCCTTTTAAATATCTCATAAGATGGATAGTAGGCACTCAATAACCATTTGCTAAATGACCTTATGAATAGTATTGAATATGCATAAACATCATTTTATATGTCAAATACTTTGTATTAATTGGTCTTTTGGCCATTTATTTTTATTTAGTTTGTTTCAGTGCAAATCAATTCCAAACACAATGTGCAATCCAAAACAGATGTACAGTGTTCATTCACACACATAGATCTCAAATAGCTTGAGATCTGTTGGATCTGGTTGTTCCTGTGTGAGTTTCTAAAGATGGCAAATATTGGCTTAAGACTTATTAAGAGTACTATGGCCATATTGGATACTGTAACATCTAAGCATCAGTGTGTGAACATAAAGATTTGTGAGCCAAAGATTTCATGGAACGTCTATTTCTAAAAAGGTTTCTGTACATCAAGGCAGTTGTAAAAGTTTTGCTTTCCAAAATCAAGTCCACTTAGGTTTAGGACAGGTTATAACTATCTAAAAATATTTACTGATATAGAAAGTGTTCTAAATGTAGCTATTCTTATTCATAAAGTTTTTTTTTAATATTTACAGAATAAGCACAAAAGTGTTGTGAATTTAATGCAGGCAAGTTTCCAGTCTTCACTTCCCAAATACTTAATATACATTATTTTTGCCTCTTTCATACATTTGCCTTCAAAACAGATCAGTTTTTAGGTTGCAAAAATTATTCAGCATATGCAGAAATAAAAAGCAGTATTTTAAGATTGGTTGAAATCGATGCACTTCTAATCTTGGAATCAAGTTAAGTGATCCAAGTTAGCTAAATGAATCTGGCACTCGTGTTGGATAGGAATGTGTGATAGGAAATACCTGTCATTTGACTTTTAAGTGTAAATGCAAGAATTATTCAATGCTTGGATTTGTAGTAGATTCCAATCGATCATTGCCCTGACACATGTCAGTTACTACATTAAGTCAAATGCAATGCCATATCCAAAGCGTTAAGTTCCCAAGAAAACAGTGAAACCTTAACAATGTAAAACTTTATGTAGAGTATATCAGCATTAAATTAGGACTGCTGAAACAATACACAGAGGATTTACAGTAACACCTGGTGGTTCCTTCCAACATACATCTAAATAGAATCATGGAAGCTTTTAATATTACCTAATCATTTTATGGCCTTCTAGATTTAAGGAACCAAATTGAAAACTGTATCTCCATTCCACAGCTCATCCTTTTTCTCTAGATCAAGGTGAAATTATTCTCATTTTCAAGGCAGAGTTTTAAGTGTCCATATTTTTTTGTGTGTGTGAGGGAGATCAGCCCTGAGCTAACATCTGTGCTAATCCTCCTCCTTTTGCTGAGGAAGACCGGCTCTGAGCTAACATCTATTGCCAATCCTCCTCCTTTTTTATTTCCCCAAAGCCCCAGTAGATAGTTGTATGTCATAGTTGCACATCCTTCTAGTTGCTGTATGTGGGACGCGGCCTCAGCATGGCTGGGCAAGCAGTGCGTAGGTGCGCGCCAGGGATCCGAAACCCGGGCCGCCAGCAGCAGAGTGCGTGCACTTAACCGCTAAGCCACCAGGCCGGCCCTAGTGTCCGTATTTCTTAAGCTACGCTTACATCATTATTTTTCACATCACATCATTAATTTTCGATGTTGTCTCTCTCTTCAGTCTTGTACATGAAACTCCAGAAGATTTAATATTGGCATTCAAATCCTTCAGATGCTCTTTAAACCAGTCCAATTTGAGACTCGCAACGTTTTCTGTGTTAATGGATTAGTAATTAGTAGATTTGATGAAGACCTTTTTTTCCTTGCCACACTGATCTTCTAGATGCCATATGGATTGGGCTTTAAAATATGGATTGGTGAACTGTAGATGTTTCTTGACCTAAGTCTCTTAACAGTAGAGATGTAGAAGGGCAAAGAGCACAAAGAGACTTGCTGTTAATTGCGCGGCACAGCTGACTGTTGTGGTTTCCAACGTTTGCTCTGGTGTGCTGGTTAAAGGAACGAGTGAATAAATCGATGTGGGTAGAAGCAGGACCAGAAGCAGCAACCACATACTGTGGCTAGCCACCATCTCCTTGCCCTGTTGGTCACTGTGCATTGGGTCAGGCCCTCTGCTTGGCACACTGGAAGGTCAAAGGCCTCTAGCTGGTGCAGGGGAGGTAGCTAGCAGGGTCTTAAATCAGGAGGCATCATAATGGCAGTAACATGGCAGTACCCGCCCACCTGTGCTCACCACTCCTGGCCCCCCCATCAAATAATTTGCTTTCGAAACAAAATATTTCAAAGTTGTTTAGAGAACCTGGACCATATTACTTATAAATCTATAAAAAAGAAAAAAAAAAGCAGGTTTGTATTGTCTTGGGCATTATTGTAAGTGACATTTTTTTCCTGATTCTTTGTGTGGGGTTTTGTTTGTGTGTGAGGAAGACTGGCAACTGGTGTTAGCTCAGGGCCAGTTGCCAATCTTCCTCTTTTTGCTTGAGGAAGAGTGGCCCTGAGCTAACCCATCTTCCTCTATTTTGCATGTGGGATGCCACCACAGCATGGCTTGATGAGTGGTGTAGGTCTGCGCCTGGATCCAAACCTGGGAACCTGGTCCGCTAAAACAGAGTGCCACGAACTTAACCACTGTGCCACCGAGCCAGCCCCCTCCTGATTCTTAAAAGTACGTTTGTTGTTGCAAGTTGGTAACACTGAGTGAGTATGAGGAGAGATTTTTACCCAGAGATAATTACTATTGATATTTGGTATATTTTATACAGACATCTGGCATATTTATATACATGTCTTTTACACAATAAAGATTGTACTTTTGTATCCAGAATTTTTGCTTAACATTTATCATAAGCATTTTACTGACATTAGAAGCTTAAAAAGCATGATTTTTCTTAAAAAGTTGGCAGATTGAACTCTGTATGTGTGCAGTTTTATCTTTACCTAGTTTTGTTTTGAAATATTCTTACGTATTTATAGAGAAGTTGTAAAGAAAATACACCATGGTGTTAGTTTTGATTGTTTCTAAGTGATGGGGATTTCTGTACTTTACAACTTTTCTACATCGGTTATACATTTGTTGTGGAGGTTGAACTATTAGTTTTTTTGAGGGACGGGGTTAATGGAATTCAAGCTAGATAACCCAACATGGAAACTACTTTTTGGAAAAAAAAGACTATAGAAAATAGACAGTAAAAATTAAAGAATAAAGACAGGAAGTTCATGGTTAATAATGTAGCATTTATCATCTAAATGGGAACTGATCCTCTTTGAGTGACTGGAATGAGTAAAAATAATACCTTTCACTGATGTTTGTAATTTGGGGGTGACATAATAAGATTAGCACAAGTTTAAAAAACCTCTGGTTTGTATTTTCTTATCTGCTCAAGGAGAAACCTTAAAATTACTCAATATTCTATTGTCTTTTATTTTCAAGAATACAAGTATTTTCTTTACATTCCAGAGTATAAAAACTTACTTTCTCTTTGCTTTTCCTAAGCCACTGCTTCCTGCCTCTTCAGGAATCCGATTCTCTTTCTCAGAAACTCTAGGGGACAGCCTGAAGAATTCTCCAATTCCTTTTTGCCACTTGGGAGTTGGGCGCACACAAACTGGATTCCCTCCTGCATACTTATTTTCAGCTATAAAATATAAACAGATGGAACTAAATAAGAACTAAGAATCTAGTCGCCATTCCTTAAAGGGAAACAATTCTTTAACATCAAATCTAAAGGGTATTAGATGGTATTACATCCATCTTAAAATAAAGAATTACAAAATGTGACATGATAAAGCTGTATTCAGTCAATAGTACATTACTATACATTATATATAATAATGTGTAATACTTTATTATAGTTATCCTTTAGCCTAGAAAAATAGCATTAACTAAATTTTTACAACTGGAAAATATTTTTCATACTTTGTCGACAAGCAGAGCTATTCAAATAGTCTTATGTACTATCATACTAAAGTTTGACATACTTTTTCCTAATATAATGTAGCACCAGGTAGTATAGACTGCCAAACTTTTACTTAATAAGGTCATTTAAAGCACATATAGAAGGCAAAACAAGTATACGTACAGTAATGTGAAAGTTTCCACAAAAATAGGTTCCACTTTTCAAAGCACTTGGCTCCTTTTCAGTTCACAAGGTAAATCCAATTCCTGATTATTTTAAAACAGTAATATAAAGGAAAAATTGAGGGAAAGTTCCTGCCCCTTTATAAAGTAATGATTAGAACACCAAGAGGAGGAAATTATTAAGTTACTACATATATCTGTTGCTTTAAACACATTTGTCACAAACTCTAGCAGTTAAAGAAAACATAAAAGTTGCTCCCATGTATACTGTCTGAAGTTATATTGCTTGTACTTTTTAAAAAGTACAAATAGCCTTTAAAAAATAATGATCCTTTGGTTCATAATTTTCCTGAAGGAAACTTATGGGAATGCTTTCACTACTAGAAAGTGTATAGCAGCAACAGAGAGTTCAGCATAGGATTCAAACCCAGCTCTGCTGATTTAGTTGTGTGACCTTTACCAAGGTATGTAACCTGAGCTTAAATTTCTTCATCTTTAAAATGAGGATATTTCCAATTTCATACAGTTGGTTATTGATTAAAAATAGAGATCTATTCTCACTCATATGTGGAATATAAACCAACACATGGACAGAGAAAACTATATTGTGGTTACCAGGGGCAACGGGGGTAGGGGGTGGGCACAAGGGGTGAAGGGAGACATATATATGGTGATGGACAAACAAAAATGTACAACCCAAAATTTCACAACGTTATAAACTATTAAAACATCAATAAAAAATAGAGATCTGTAAATGCCTTAATGATGCATTTGTCCAACACATGTTCACTAAGGATTAAAAAATAAATAAATAAAAGGGCCGGCCCGGTGGCATAGCGGTTAAGTTCGAGCAGGCCACTTGGGTGGCCAGGGTTTGCAGGTTCAAATCCCCCGGCAGGCGGATTGATGCATCTCTCATCAAGCGATGTGTGGCGTTGTCGCATATACAAAATGGAGGAAGATGGGCACAGATGTTAGCTCAGAGCCAGACTTCCTCAGCAGAAAGAGGAGGATTGGCAACAGATGTTAGCTCAGAGCCAATCTTCCTCACACACACAATAAAGGATCTATTCAATTGGCTCTGGTGATTCAACAGTAGACCAGACAATGGGATGTGGCCCTAATTGGAATTTAGTCTATCGGTATAGGGTATAAGATATTCCCAATAAATTCATCTACTTTCAGAATTTTTTAACTGCTGTTCCTTTTTATCTAAAGAGATTGAAATAGTAAATATTTTCTAATAAAATGTTTTATATAGAGGGAAGTTTGAGTTAACTTAAAAACCCATGAAGTCCTTAACAGTGTTCCCCTGTATGTTCTTAATTAGACCTTGTGGAATTAATCTTCCTAACTGCTGGATTTCCTTCTGAAAGAAATGAGGGACCAGTTGGCACGGTATTTTCTCAACCTCTCCTTGCACAGAAGGAGCAGTGTGAAGCTATTTCCCTGACCCGGTTTTTCCCTCCTAATGTCCTAAAGGCAGAATCAGGAGCTGCAAAATTGGAAAACACACACCGACGCCACACTCCAAAACAAAAAAAAAAAAAGAAGAAAGGAAGGAAAGAAAGAAAGAGAAAGGGAAAGAAGATAGGAAGGAAGGAAAGAAAAAGAAAAATATGCAGAAATGAAAACAAAAACATTTACACTAAGAAGATAACGTGATTAGCACTGTCAACTATCGTCCTAATTCTTAATCTAGTAAAGGGGCGCTTAAATAGCCTCCTACAATAAAAAGCTATCTGTCAATATTAAGAAAAATAAAAACGCTAAACCAGAAAAGAAAAATAGGTGTGAAGATAAACTGTATCTGTCCCTAAACCCTAGGCTTGAATTTCCTTTCCGTGCGACCCACACTTCTACCCGAGCTCGCCAAGAGGCCAAGGCCCCCTCATTATATTAAGGGGAAGGAAGAAATTCGGGCGTGAGGATCTCAGGAAAATAAATTCCACGGTGGGTCAGGGGGTTCGCAGGTCAGGAGAACTGTGGCGCCAAGCCTGATCCCCTTTGGGAGGGTTCCTCCAGGAGCTTGCAGAGGCGCTTTTTACCTTTCCTCGACGAAAGCGACGTGGAATTAGTGGCAGAGGTGGAGGAACCAAGCACCTTCCTGGGGGCTCGAGAAGCCACCACTGCGGAGAGAGGCAAAGGAGGGCGTTTAGAAGAAGGGGGCAGTAAAGTTCCGACACCGAGTCTAGTATCCACATTCTCACCACAGTCCCGGTCCCAGGCGCTTGGAGAGGAGAGCCTCGCGATCCAGAACAGGATAACCCTCCCCTGTCCCCGCCGCTTCTTCCTCTGGTTAAGGGGCCGGGCCGCGGCTTCCTGGCCGGCTGAACCAGTGTGGCGAACAAGGCCATGGACAGCGCCAGCCTCTCCCGCCCGGCGGCTGGGCTGTCCGGGGAACCCCCTGCCCTCCGCTACCGTGCACGACTGTCTCACCTTTTCTGTAGGTGCCTGGGATACTGTTTGCTTTAGTCCGCACCATGTTCAAACGCGAGAAGATGAGAGCAACCAATTGACTTTCCAGCCGAGGGTGTTTAACGCGACAAGGACCCAAAAACGAATCTCCCGCCACAATTTAAATTGGTCTCTTTCCCGCGCGCTCCAAGGTCTCTCCCGGGTCGCCGCTCCCATTGGCTCCGCGCCGTTCCCCCGCAACCAATCGCCAGTGTCTAGTGATGACAGCTGCGAGGTTTGGCGCAGAGATGACCCGTCCATCAACTTACAGAAGCTTGTGACTCGTACCCGCCCCAGGTGGGCGGTGCCAGGGCTCTTTCCTGGGTTGCCCCATGTGTGGGTGCTAAGATTCTGAACTAGGGAAATGGGCCTGCTTAGAAAGGAAAACTCAGGAAAGACAGCAAATTCCAACATTTCTTCAAAAGTTACCACAAGGTTAAATCCATAACGTTTGAATCCTGGAAGTGAAACCTGAAATGAAGCGGACTTTTTTTTTTTTTTGCCCCCAAATCCCCAGTAGATAGTTGTATGTCATAGCTGCACACCCTTCTAGTTGCTGTATGTGGGACTCGGCCTCAGGATGGACAGAGAAGTGGCGCCTCGATGCGCACCCGGGATCCGAACCCGGGCTGCCAGCATCGCAGCGCGCGCACTTAACCACCAAGCCACAGGGCCGACCCTGAAGCGGACTTTTTGATGCAAATCAAAATAAAGAGAACTTTCCTTTAATGCCACAGGCATGAACTCTCTCTGCATAACTAAAACAATTCTATGAAATGGGAGAAAAGAAAGCAAACAATTTATTTACAGGACTTTTCTACGTTTTTAGGATGGTGTGAAACTAAAGAAAAAACTGGGTGAATTGTATATACATACACACATTAAAAGAAACAAATTAATAAAACGTCTTCCCGAGACCTGTACAGTCTCCGAGTTCCTTAAAAAATATGCCAAATGTGCTAAGGGTACCTCTCTGGCACACAGTGAGCATAACTCTGGAATAGGAGCTTTTAACTATTTTCTATCCCTATGCCTATCTTCTAATTACTAACAATACACCTGTGGAGTGATTTTCACTCTCCGAATACCATGCATAAAACATGATCAGATGAGCTGGCTTTGGGATGTATTTTGTTAAATGCTCACTTGAAAGACAACCCTGAAAGCATACGCAGGGCATTGATTCTCTCCAATTAATTATTCTTGAACTTTCGGAACATAGGCTACTCAGTACTTGAACAGAATCAACAACTACTTTGTGTTTTAGAATTAAAGAATTTAGACAACAGGTGAAATTAATATTATAATAGTAGGAAATGTATTGGAAATTACCTGTAGCTTTGTCTAAACCTTAGAGTCTGAGATTACAGACAAATTCCTACCAGAAAAATCAACAAGCCCCAGGGTATTCCTTTGTTCTTTGTCATCATGTCCCTCTCAATACACAATGATCCTTCAATACACATTACTTCCTTTTCAGTTACAGTGGCTTCTACAAAGGCCTGAATTACTTAATTAGAATTCACATCCCAGATCCCTGCAGAGGTTAGAACTGCATGTAGGATCTGGCAGTCTTTCCTCCTAGTCCACATGACAAGTCAATTGCTAGAAAGAATTGCAAGTACGTATACCTCTGCAAACCAGGGGCAGTCTACATATTACTATAGCTGTTTGTATGTTTGTCTTTTTCATACCAATTATGATAGGAAAGGATGCATGTTAGAGTAAAAAATTGGGAGAAAGTCAGTGATGCCTAGTAAAAATTCTTAATTTAAATGTTTGCTTTGCGGAAGTGCTTCTCCTTCATGGTTAAATAAAATACAGACAGTTGTGTGGTGTGAACTTGAAAATTTCGAAGGCCTAGGGCATTAAGAAAAGTTGTATGTACAAATGACATTTCTGCCTAAATTTATACAAAAGACTATCTTTAAGTCATGCTGAATAGGTGTGCTTGCTTTGCTTAGGCAGAAATGCATTTAATAAATGATAATGATTGTAAATGGCATTGCATTACATTACATACATTACAAACTGGAGATTACAATCATTAACATATGCCTTATGAAAAAGAACACTTTTATTCTTGAGGATCTAGTAATTTCATCATACTATGTATGATGTACTAAGTCCTATTATACAAAAAAACTTATAATCGCTTCAAGAAGTTAACATTTTAGTTATGAGAACTGAACAGACACAGAAACAGGTAAACAATTTAGATACGTAAAATTAGTATTAAATGTAGTGGATTTTTATGAAGAAACAAAAAGTGTACCCACTTAATTAATGAATGTACCCAATGAATGAACATTCACGGAGTATTTTTTTTAAAGCTGGAAAATCATATATTTTTCAAATTAATAACAAAAACAATCTGAACTCAATACACATGATTTTGACTATTTATATCAATGAAAACATTAGCATAAGGTGAAACAGCATCCAATTAACATAATTACGTAGTCTAAATAGCCTAATGGGAATAAAGAACCTATAAATGTAACGCAAAGCCAGCCAATTAAATTTACTGATGAAAAATATCAAAAGACATTATGCTCTCCAGAAAAGTCTGGCTAAATTTTCCCCAGTCCGTCTTCCCAGTGGAGTAGGGAGTAGCAAAAGACCCTTAAATCTGGTCATCTTGGGTTGAAATACCTTTAACTTCTTAAAAATTAATACGGAATGTCTTCAAAGCATCTGTTTTATTCAAGTTTTTTCCCCCTCGAGCTTACTGAATTGTCTTGGCCCTCCTGGATAAGACCTGGCTCAAAAAATTAAAAGGAAAGAGGCTTCAGTAGAGTGAATCTAGCATTAGAACACAGGGGATATTAATAAAACCACTATTACCAGAGCAAATCCTTACAGCGCTTACTCTAGCTTCCAAGTGCTATTTTAAATATTTTACATAAAACCAGAACAGTTTAAAAGCTGGCCCCTCATGTTACGGGGTCTTGTTTTGTTTTTTTCCTAAACTGTAGTATTCATAGGTATGTGTATTGTCTTCTTAGCAGAACTTCCAGATCTCGAGTCCTAAATCTGACGACGCGGAGGAATTACGCGCAAACGGAGGTCTGGTACAAGTATACACACGTCAGGAAGTGGGAAGGAGCCGCAGGAGGCGGCACAGGTGGGAGGGATCTGTGCTGAGGGCGGCGCAACTGCGCGTGGCAGTGCAGGCTGGCGGAACCCGCGAGAGCGGGGTCGGTGTTGCGAAGGGGACTAGTCCGGCGCAGGACGCGAGGCTTTTACAGCCCAGCTGGTTCCGGCTGGGGAAAATGGCGGTGGCTGGGGCGGCGTCCCGGGAGCAGCTGGTAGGCTGGTGCACCCAGCAGTTGCGGAAAACTTTCGGCCTGGATGTCAGCGAGGAGATCATGCAGTGAGACCGGTTTGGGTCCGAGGCGGGAAGGAGCTCTGGGATGTGCACTGGCTGAGCGAACGGGGAAGCGGGGAGGACTAAAAAGTTGATGAGAGTGAAGAAATGTGACAAAAGGGCTGCTGTTGGTCTCTAGGCGCCAAATTTTGACCTCCGGCTTTACAGTTTAGCTTCTGGAATAAGGTGTCAGGCTCCACAATTGGCCGTTGGGGCCTTTTTCTCCTAGGAAAACGCTAAATCCCAGATAATTAGACTTGTAAGACTGTCCCGGGAGCCGGTTTCCTTATAGATCCTGGAGAGAAGGGGCAAGCCAAATTGTCTTTCCAGAAATTCCTTACTCTGAACATTTTACTTTGCCCGATCTGGGTTGTGTCGAATAGGAACTGGAATTTAAATGGGGGCGGCGTGGTACAGTGCAAATAGCTCCTGACTCAGGAGTCCCAGGTTCTATTTTTGTTGTCATTTACCAGTTTTGGAACCTTGGGCAACTTAAGTTGCCTCTCTGTACCTTAGTTTTCTCATCTATAAAATGAATAATTAGCAGAGCTTATCTTTAATACTTTATGATTCTTATGAAATGGAGATAGTGACATGATTTAATATCTGCTTTCAATTGATTTATTTAACAAATGTTTGTTGTGCTACTGCATGCCAGGTGCTGGGGCAGCAAAGACCATTGAGACAATTGGGTTCTGCTTGGTTGAAGAGTGCTGAGGTGAGGGAAGTGCAGGGTGTTTGGGG